GTCCAACCCCCTGCCAAGCAGGAAACACCATCAGAGCACTCCTGACATATGGTTGTCAAGCCTCTGCTTAAAGACCTCCAAAGAAGGAGACTCCACCACACTCCTTGGCAGCAAATTCCACTGTCGAACAGCTCTTACTGTCAGGAAGTTCTTCCTAATGTTTAGGTGGAATCTTCTTTCTTGTAGGTTCCCACACGCAAATGAATTTCTCAGTGGGTTTGAACAAATTTTTAAAAACCTTTGCACTAACCACACACAGATATCAAGAGCAGCTGTTGATCCCAGGGAAGTTCTGGGCAAGGCTTATATATACACACCCCTGCCCATGTGAACTGAACCATCTCTACCATCTCTGTGCCATGTCACATATAGAACCTTGCACACATAGACCACATCTCTGAACCTGCTAGTTCATGCTGATGAGAGCTGTAGTCTGGAAAAACATCTGGAAGACACAAATTGGTTATTCTTCTAGAACTTCTGACAGGAATGAAGGTCCCCCTCCTTCTTCTTTAAGGTCATGATGGACTAGAACACAAGAAGAATGGCTTTTTCTTTAGAGCCAATCCCACTAGATTGGAGGTAGCAGCTCAGGCAGAAGGTTATGAATGCCATTATATGAGCGGTAGCCAATGTGGTGTCCTCAAGGACTACATCTCCTATCAGACCCAGCCAGTATGGCCAATAGTTGGGGTGGTGGGACTTGTAGCCCAACAACACCTGGAACGTGTTGACTACTACTGCGTTATTTCATAACAAAGATGTTTATGAATTCTTGCTGGGAAGGTGCTTTGAGGATTTTCTACTGCAAGTGGCAACATGTCTTGGTCTGAACTTCTGTCTGTAGATGCTGCATGTGAAATAGCTGTGGTTTTATAATCACAAACCACTAATTGCAGGCCACATAATTATTGGAACTATATACTGACCCGATAACAAAGTTACAGTGTTTCATCAGCCTTTGAAATGAATACATTTTCCTAGGAAATATAGTCAAGAGGTGTGGGGGTCTCTCTAACCCTAACCCTAACCCTAACCCTTTCCTGCTTTTAAACCTCAAATGAAGAAGAAGAAAAAGAAAATCTTTACCCATGTCATCCTTCTCCTACCCACCCCTTCTCCTCAGAGGTAGCATTATGTTTCTACAAAGTGGGATTGCGAGGCGTGCCTGATGCCAATGTTTCCAGATGAGATGATGAGGTGTGCACTATTCTGAGCAATATTTCTGGAGCTCAGAATTAACACAGACAATGGGTGCCACCCACTAAGGCCTGATTTAAATGCCTTGATCAAATCCCCTTGATCACAGAGATTGGAACAGCTTGGAAACGGAGTAGTGATTTTCCGTGTTCTGTCCTGAGGTTATGCAATGATGTCCCGAAAGAACAATATCAAGAAACCCTCCCCTTTGAACTTTAAAAAAAAGAGATCATTTTGGGTTGTTGTTTTTTTAAGGAAAGCTTTTGCTGCTAGTTGTGCTAATTCTCATTGATTTTAACAACTGGGTCTTTCTCTTGCTTCTTGAGATGAGAGTGGTATTTTATTGGGAGTTTTGTGAATTGTATGGTCTTAAGTTTGTATTAAGCTTATGGAGAGGCAGGAGGGGGGGGAGTTGATGAAAACTATTTTAACATTTTGAAGAAAATTACACAAATGTTTCTCTTTATTTCAAGTTTGGGGCATAATGGAAATTTTTAAAAGGGATGTAAAACTAGAATAGTAAGAACATTAAAAAAATTACAGTGGGAATATGGGAGTAACAAGACTGATAATGCACGTTGTACACAATAAGGAGTAATAATAAAATTTAAAAACCAACTGAGACTTCTCTATATAAAATATTTGATAGTGTAAGAGGAATAGAAAACTGCTTTCATTTTAAAAATACTTGGTCCTATAAAGTTGAAACTCATTTGAGTATAGCTAAAGTTTGTCACTAAAATTTCCCAATTCTTATCATACTATCCCTGAATTGTTTTTTCCCATTACTAACTCTTCCAAACAATTCTAAAAGGATAGTGAGACAAGACTTAATATATTCAGAAGCCACATTCACCATTGGGGAAGGGGCAGAAAACGTTCTTCCTCATGCTTGATAATTGTATTTTGCACAATGCTTCTCACCAATTTATAGGTATAAAATGGAAGTCCAATTATCTTCGGATTTTTTTAAAAAAACATTTGGACAAAGCTGCCATAAATGGAACATATGAACGATTGTTATGACACTTCGTCCAGGAAAATCGCAGGCGCTATTTACAAATATTGGTGCTGCTACCCTGTGGCTGCTCCCCAAGGCATTTTCATAATGTACAAAACTTCTGGCCTGTGTGGCTGAGGCAGATTGCATTGTTACGAGCCATGCCTGCGACGCGAGTGACAATGGGTTGTAAAAGTTGGCCCTGAGAGAGAGAGAGACAGAGAGAGAGCGGTCTGCTGCAGAGCCAGGAAAGCCCTGGACTTGGAGGCTTTCATAGCGCATAAATATAAAGATACGAAATAAGTTGAGCGCTGCCCACACCTGAGCTGCTGATTTGTTGCTCCCAGTTAGGGCTTGTCGAACTATCTGTTTTCATTGTGGCATTTAACAGCCTGCTGTGCGACCAGCTGCTGCTGCCTGGATCGGACCCAGAGCCTTGTACCACGTCCAAGCTGACTGCGGAAAGCATGGTGACAGCAGGCCTTCCTGCTCCACTTTCAGGCTGACGGTGTCGTCTGGGTGACACATTGTGCTTTCTTTATGTGAGGCAGGCTGTGTGAGGTTGTACTTGCTCACTCAAACGGCAGCCAAGGGTTTGAGGCTTAGAGCTTGTCTGGTGCTTTTGTTCCTCAGTCTCCTTGAAATGCTCTCGACTTTCTGCCTTGGGTGCCTTCCGTGTGATGGAAAAGCCACAGCTATGTGGTAAAGCATTTTTTTTTGGGGGGGGGAATAGTAGAACATGTCACTCAACTGTGGAACAGCTGCTTTGCATGTAGAAGGAACCAGCTTCAGTCCATGGCACTTCCAGCAAAGCGAAAGGAGCAAGTGATGCGAACAGCTTCTATCCAAGCCCCCTAGAGAGTCATTTCCAGACAGACAACACTGGGCTAGACAAATAGGCCCCATCCGCGCTATAGATTTAAAGCAGTATTGATTGATTGATTGATTGATTGATTGATTGAATTCATATATCGCCCTATACCCGGAGGTCTCAGGGCGGTCCACATAAAAATATCACAGTATGTAAAATAAAAATAAAAGCAATAACCTAATAATAACACCCCCCCCAAAAAAGAGCCACATTTTAATGGGTATGGGATGTTGATTAGGTCAACTAAAGGCCTGGTTAAAAAGGAACGTTCTTGCCTGGCGCCTAAAGGTGTACAATGAAGGCACCAGGTGAACTTCCCCGGGGAGAGCAGGGCTTCCCCGAAAGAATCCCAGGAACTGTATATTGTTGAGTGTGCTGAGAGTTAACTACCCTGAGAATTGTAGCTCTGTGTGGGGAATAGGAGTCTCCCTAACAACACCCTTAGCAAACGACAGTTGCCAGGATTCTTTGGAAGGGAAGTCATGACTGTTGAAAGTGGTGTGAAACTGCTTTAATTGTCTAGTGAAGATCGAGCCATAGTCTGGGCTGGTATCTTCCTATGCGCTTTGCACGTATTAAGTTCTAGCAGAAACACACTACTCTCCACTTCCACAGGAAACGGCCTTATAGCAGCTCAGACCACTAGTCCATCTAGCCCTATACTGTCTACATTGGCTGGCAGCAGCTCCCAGGGTTTGAGACAGGGAACACTCCCAGCCCTTCCTGGAGCGGCTGGGGATTGATCCAGGGACCTTCTGCAGGCAGAGTGGATGAACACTGAGCTATAGCCCTTCTTCTTAAATGGTGTTTGGGTGGTAGAACGCAGAAATATTTTTGCCCGAGGAGCTGATTCTAATCTGGGACTAGCTTCGTTGGTCTTGCCCGACATCAAAGTGACTGGTGACACCTTCATATTTCAGTCCGCGCATTTAAAAACAACAACCCATAAAATGAAAATTCTGAATGCTGCCAGGACCTCCTTCAGATCATGTTATTTGGAGAGGTGTTACCATGGCAACCCCTAGGAAAGATACAATACAGGCCTCGCTGGATCCGTTTTCTTCTGATGTGCATTCAACCTGTTTGCAGAAGGTGCGCAGGTTGTGCTTCTTATCAGTTCATCAGGTATCGCTGGGAAAGTGCGCTGTTGTCTGGGACACTACCGTATCCCGGGAGGTTGCTGGATGTTTACTTCAAAGCGTGCAAAACAAAGGGTGTGAGGTCTTTTTTTTGCATTTAGATGCTGCAGGACATAATGGAGTCTAGGTTTTTCACTGGAATTCCCAAGAGAAGCATGAACGCTCAAAGGAAAAGCACCTGCGCAGACTTTGTTCAGGCGCTAACCCTTCCGAGGCCCCTGGTATTGAGAACACAAGATAAGGCGCACTGTAGCCTAGTGCCTTTCCCAGGTGCTGAGGTTTTCCCAAGAGGACTTTGCAGTCAGGACCAGGGATCTAATTTTCTAGGACTAGCGGGAGGAAAGCGCTAGCAAATGCAGACGGCATCCTCCCGGGGAAAATATATTACATCTGGAAAGATACACAGGCAGATTTTCAATAGGCCTTTGAAGCACGTTTTAAGTGCCATTAAATGCAATACAGTATTCACACAAAAAACCTAGTGTGCATAGGATTTCTGCTTTGCAATTTTATGAATCTGAGCATCCAGCTATTGTGCACACTGTTGCGTGCTGTGACAATCCCTTGGCGTGGTCCATCAAGTTTAGCATTATCTACTCTGACTGGCAGCAGCTATGGGAAGGTGGAGGGGGGCGGCGCCAATTTGTCCTTTGCCTCAAGCAGCAAAATAACTTGGGCCAGCACGTAAACATTTGGGACTACTGGTCCACCATTCAGTTGAGCCTTGTGCGAAAAAAGTTCACCCTAAGTCTCTTTCTTGCCCCGTATATTGCATTGCTTTGTTTCACAGGCAGTTGCACAGAAGCCGTGAACAGCAGGATGAACTCGGCCAGTGAAGATTTTGTTAGGAATCCAGGAATGAACTCGGATCTATCCCTAAAAAGCCAAATACCCAAATATCAAGGTGAGTTGTGAAACTCCAGGCAACTTGCATCTGAACCTCATTTGAGGAATGCACACACACAATTCACAATTGCTGTTGCAAGAAGCCAGAACATACCTCTTAAGTTCTGTTGTGACTGGCAGACTCTTGGGCATTGTAGGCAGTGGCTTCTGGTCCTTTTCTCTAAGGACGCATGGCAAGGAATTTTTTGTCTTATGCTTCTGTCAGTCCAGCCCAGCCCAAAGAGTCCCATTTGTCCATATTACTTGCATTTATTTCCCCTTTGCAAATAGCATGGCAAATCACCCACACTGCCCTAAGGTTAGATCACTGGGTCCTAGCTCATTTTGGGGGATGAGAAATCATTAGGTAATATTCTAAGAGGGAACTTTCCTACAGAGCCTTGCTAGGTAAACAGCTTATCTTCCAGTAAAATTGTTTCTAGGCTGTGCTGCTACAGATTGCACAACGGAGATCCAGCGTTTGAACTCCCCCTCATATAAAATAGTCCCTGTGTATAGAAAAGTAACATGCCAGGAAGAAGGGTTCTAGCTTAGCCTTCAACCTGATACTCTGCTTTTCTATGTGCAGGGTTTTTCCTTTACAAACAGAAGCAATTCCTCTGTCTGAACTCCAGAGTGGTATAGTCTGGGTACAACAGCAAAGTTTTAGGAGGGATGTTTTTGGAACTTTTCAGAAACCCAACAAAGCTGAGCAACGTAGCCAAATGATTCCTAAATTGTTCAATCTGATTTTATTATTCATTTATATTGTGCCTTTTAAAAAGCATGTGTTTTTTGACCTTTTCTGATTATTTTCTTCACTCATTCTAGCATTACGACAGGGTTTCTTAAATCCAGGCCAAGAACAGCCCTGAGTAACACTATACCTGTTACTTGATCTGGCTGTCCTGGCAATTGAAATGGTTTAGTGACATGATCTATTGCAGTTTCTTTGACTTGTTTTAATATATGTTGCGGCTTTATTTTGTATTTAGGCTCTCACATTGTGCTGTACTACACTTTGTGCCTGAATTCTTCTTGATTTCAGTGAGAAATATTCAGTTCACTGGCCAACCAAAAAGATTTTAACTCTTAGGAAAGATTAACTTATGTGCTTTGCTCTCATATTTAAATAAAAAGGCCTAACCATGGCTAGAATTTAGTCCTAATTTTGAAAAAAAAAGGTATATACATTTTAAAACCTACTCTCAGGTTGCACTTATGTGATGGGTATGTGTGACTTTTTGTACACTAGTAACCAAAAAAGAGAGAGAACCATTGTATGGGGGGAAATGTATATCACTTCCTTAATCATAAAAATGCCTCCAACTAATGCAATCATTAGTTAATTATATATATAGGTGATACAGAAAGACTGTCACCACATTATGGTGACATTGAGGACCAGATTATAGCATGTACATTGCTATACCCTGCAATCCTCTAATTGTCAGTTATCATCGGTCTCAGCCACCATGACCAAGGATGATGGGAGTTTAAGTTCAGCAACCTGCCCTGGACTGTGAGTAGAGAGAGAATCCTGACAAAGGATTTCCCAGGGAAAGTGTTCACCCCTGTCATATTTCTTCCCACCCTTTTTGGCACACCACCTTTCCCAACTCCTTCCTTCAAAAGCGTTGCACCCAGCAGAGTGTCAGAAACACTCCAGGACTTCTGCCTTTATGCCCTCCATAGTTCTGCCTGGGAAGTGTTGCCATAACAGTGGTTCTCCACTGAAGTGGCCCAAGGACGACAAGCTTAGTAAGAGCAAGTTTGGGCAGCATTCAGCGTTTGCAGTTCTGTGTTTGGAAGAGGACCAATATCTGAGTCCCTTGGCGACTTCTTGCTGAAGGCTCCCATTGAAGAGTGTTGGGAGTCTGCCACATGACCCAGTTGTGGTGCACCACCTATTTTCTCGCTCCCCTGGCACCTGCTGTATTATCTTTCAGGTGTCAGATTAAGCTGCTTTTATTCTCTCAAGCATGTTAATGGTTTGTATTGTAAGGACTGGAAAGAGCATGCAATTTTGAACTGTGGAAGTGAAGCTTTTGCGCTGCCATTCCAATGGAAATTTAATGGTGATTTTGTTGTTGCAATCTGCCTTGAGATAAATATTAGGAGAAGGCAGTATACAAATGCCTTAAATGACTAGGTAAGCAATGCCTTAAATGACTAGGTAGGTCCTTTGCTAGGGGCATGTGGCATGTGGAGCTACAGCTTTTAACTTGTCTGTGTTTTTGTGTTCTAGACATGAACGCATTGCAGAGCCAGTGCCCAAGACCACACAGTTCAAGTCTTGTCACTATCCAGCCTCAACACCCATCAGATGTTCTGCTGCACAGTCTACCTGGTGATAGGGGACAAGATTCAGAAAGTGGAGACACGGAAGAAAATATTGTTTATCTCTAAAACCTTTCCTTGTTTACTACCAGTAGCACTTTAGGATGGCTTTTCTCATTGTTCATAGTTGGTCTTTGTCCAAATTACTTTGAAGACATCTTATTTATTGTAAAAAAAAAAAAGTTTTCCAGATTCATAGGATGCATATTAAGTTATTTTTTAAAAACTGTGTCTAATATTTATCTTGTGACACACATATTACATCAGAAATGCTCTATAAGCAACATCAAACATTGTTGGACTAAAAGCTGCAATGACTTGTGTATGATGTGAACACCACAATTAGACCTTGGGTGGAAACATTTCTGTTCCCGGGTTAAGACTGCACAGTCTTTCTGAAAGTAGTGCTGTGTGCAATAGGAACATTTGAAATTTCATAATGCAACTCAGTGGCTTTAAAAACAGTAGATGCATCATAGTAGACCATTCTTACCCACATGGGTGTCTGTCATGGGTTCACCATCATATCAGCCTTTGTCTCTGGATGGGGGAAGCATACCTGAAATATTTCTCAAGTGACTTTCTGGATCTCCTCGGTCTCACTATGGCCTCCTCAAATGATGCATTGCCACTATTGAAGATCTTTTGCCAAATTAACACTTTCTTTTCACAGTGAACAATTTAGTGGCCCAGCGTTGTCTCAAGATTTTATTGTAAAAGTGAGGAGCTTCAGGAAACAGATCCACATCTGCAAGCTAGATTCTTGGTGGTTTCAGATTACTCCTTGGCAGATGTCTATATCAGAGACCTAAGTCTCACCTAGCATGTATATAACTTTCTTTTCAAAGCCTTCGAGGTCAGTTTTGTGATGTATTGCTTTATAACTTGTTCTTGGCTACATCAAGTGCCCCCTTTTTTTTATCAAAGCACTGAAATTCATCACATAGACATTGCTATCCCTGTGGAACGGAGAGGAGGATAGTGAGAAAAATGTAAAGTCCCCGTCCCCCCACCTAACCCAAATCCACTGCTTTTCACACACATGGACTACAAATCAGTGTGCTTCTTTCAGGACAGAGCTTTGATAACATAGAGTAATGAATGAAGGTGTTTTTTTTCCCTGTGCATTTTTCATACATAATTGTATACTTTTTTGAACTTAATAAATATTCTATATCTCCAAGATAGCTCTTCATAATTCCTAGCGTTCAGAAAATGTGTTACTTTGGCCCATTGCTGTTTTGACTATTACAATCACTACAATGGTCTGACCAATGTTTTGAAGCATATGATAGTTCTTGTTCAGCAGAGGGGAAGGACCTTGCTCAGTGCTGATGCTCTCACACTCTTCCTGCATGTGAGTTTCCAGGGGCCAGAGCAAACCAGTGCTAGTGATTGGAGGGAGTTATATGCTGGCTGCTGTTGGTTTTAGTGTCCCCTTAGGTCAACCGTGACAGTCAAGAGTGTGTAGAAGTCAAGTACCTACTACCACTTAGTGGTTGCTGCTAGTGAACTCTCTTTGGCCATATCTGTGGTAGTGCAAATAGCCACAATGGCTGTTATAATAAATTTGGGGTGCCATTGCACAAGACAACCAAGTAACATCAGTTTCCATGCACTGAAAGGCAACAGTGACTGGAACTTACTGATGGTATCAGTACAGTGTTTCTTTACTACATAATTTCTGATTAAAGATGTAAGGCCTGTCCTGCAACCTCTCCTCCTACACTGTACTGTGACTGACAGATTTTGAAGTCAGTGGCTGGTTTTGGATGTAATGCTAAAGCATGGTTTAGCACTGTGTGCATGAACTTCAGTTAGTTTCTTCTTCTTCCCTTTATTATTATTATTAATAATAAAATGATAATAAAAAATTAAATTTGTATACTGCTCTATACCCACAGGTCTCAGGGCAGTTCACAGGATAAAATCACAATATAAAAACACAATACATAATCAATATAAAAACAAGAGCCACGCAATACCCCCCCCAATACATTTTAAAAGGGCATTGAATGTCAGTCAGCCAAAGGCCTCCTGTCCTCTTCATGTTGCTTCCCTCCTTTCTCCTCCTTTGGTTGGTGTGAGTATTTACCCTGGGTTTAGTTTCAATTTTAAACAACCTTGGTTGAGCATTATGTTCAAACCAGAGATCCTGGTTTCAAGTCAAGCTATGGGTTATGAAACTAGCTTCTTAACCTAACCAGAGTTTATGTCAAACCAGGATCTCTGGTTTGAGCATAGTGCTCAACCATCGCTATGTAAAAGCAAAAGAAAACCCAATAGAGAAGGGACAAGGACAGTGCATGAAGCTGAAGCTTCATTTGAAGAAGAAGAGGAGTTTGGATTTGATATCCCACTTTATCACTACCCAAAGAAGTCTCAAAGTGGCTAACATTCTCCTTTCCCTTCCTCCCACACAACACTCTGTGAGGTGAGTGGGGCTGAGAGACTTCAGAGAAGTGTGACTAGCCAAGGTCACCCAGCAGCTGTATGTGGAGGAGCGGAGACGCGAACCCGGTTCACCAGATTATGAGTCTATTGCTGTTAACCACTACACCACACTGACTCTCTGTCCACATAACATGGATTAGTGTAATGTTTGAACTAAGCCAACGTTGCTGTCTTTTGGATCATGCGGTTATAGTAAACTCTTATTTAACTGTACTTTCAAGGATCTTCAGACTTTGTACATAAAACATTATCTACGTCATTCACCCATATTCCTGGTAAAAATAAATCTTGACAGAATAAAGGAGGTTCTGTATTTGGGATACATTGGCCGGGGGTGGGGGGGAAGGGAAGGAAAGATTTAAAATGTAAACCAATAAGCTAGGCAGTCCTTAAACCAACATGCATCCTGTAACTCTATCCATCATTTAGACATTTTTAATGTTTAGTTGAATTAAACATGAGCTTTTGGAAAACATTAAGGATTCAGTAACTCAGGATAAGAGTTGCACTTCTTGCACTTCCCCTCTCCCTGAACTGCTGCTGCATTAGAAAATACGGTACCCCCATCATATGGTCAATATATACTCATGCAATCCCTCTCTGCATAGGTTGACATGTGCACTTGCACAGGGTTAAGGGCATAGGGAAAGACTGTCAAAGCAAAAATGTCTTGCAACTGCTTCTAGAAAGTGCAGATTGTGGGTGTCTGTCAAGAGGGCTGCTATTCCATAGAACAGGGGCAGCCACACTAAAAGCCCTGTTCTGAGTTATTGTGGAACAGGCTTCGGAGATCTTTGGAACTTGCAGGAGAAACTCTCCTAGTGACCACAGCTATCTACTGGATGTACGAGGGATAAGGCAGTCATGTAAGTAAGCTGGTCCTGAGCTGTACAGGGACTGATATCTTAGGTACCAACACATTGAACTTGGCCTGGTAGCAAATGGGCAGCAAGTATAAATCGTGCAAGCAAGGAGCTACATACTAGTGGTAGTTTCCCCCCACAACCAATGTAGCCACTATGTTCTGTACCAGCTGCAGCCTCTGGGCAAACCCAAGGGGAGCCCCACATAGCATGCATTGCAGTAATCTAAACATGAGCCTACCTTGAATCCCTGCTGCCTGATCTCAGACATGTTTTATTGTGGTACTAACCAGCTTTAAGACCCGGAAAGCTGACCCACATTTTTTCTTTAAATCACTTGCTGCTGCCTGTCATGTTGTGCAAAATCCTTTCCAAGCAAAATTGAGAGAAGCTCTCTCTCGGTATTTCACTCGGATGGAGGAGGAGTGTGTGTGAGTAGCAATTTGACAAAGCAACTAAAAAAAGGTATTCATGCAAGCATTTACTGGGGGCAAGGGAAGAAGACAAGAGCAGAGGTCAAACGGTAAATCCACATCAGTGTGGATTTTTAATTTTTGACCAAAAAGAAAATGTGTCTTTTCATGAGACTCAAATAGGTTTCAGGGAATGGCTTCTTGTTAACCTTCATCGAGTTTTCTGGGATTCCAGAGAGAATCAACTGCTGCCTGTATTTTTTAAAATAAAGAATCCAAGTCTGTTCCTTGCTGCAGTTGCTTGACAATATGGTATCCTCCTATCAAAGGAAGCAGCAGTACACAATCAGCTATGGGGTAATATTACAGTAATTACCAGGCTGATACTCGGGTCCCTGAAGGACAAATTAATGACCTTTTCCATCTGGAATGCTCATCCTGTCTCCAGCTGGAGCCCCCAGTGTATTGCCTTAATGTGTTTCAATTAATTTGTCCATTGTAATTACCCACCTGTAAAAGCACGATGGAATATCCGGAGGCCCTGAATTCGGCTACTTTTACATATCACAAAATTAGCCTCCAGCCCCATTTACTGATAAAGTTATTCAAATATATAGGAACAGGTATTAAAAGTGGACTATATTGCACAGTTCCTCTAAGTTGGTTAGAGCATGGTGCTGATAATGAAAAAGTTGCAGGTTCAGACCCCGTATGGGACAGCTGCATATTCTTGTATTGCATGGAGATGATCCTCAGATCCTGAGCCACCTACACACAAATTATAATCACTAACAATAAAATAAACAAACAAACCCAAAATCCAGGACATTTGCTTTAAAATGTAAATCCCCCTGCATGGGGGTGTAGGACCCCCAAAAGAGGACATGTCTGGGAATTCCCAGATTTATGGCAACCCTATTTAGACCCAGCTCCCATCAGCCCCAGCCAGCATAGCCAATGATGAGGAATAATGGTAGTAGTGGTCTCTTAACATCTAGAGAAAATCATGTTGGCTAGCTGTGGGTTAGGCTACAAGTCTTATCCTGTAGAGACTTAGGTTTGATTCTTGCTTGGCCATAAATGGAGAATTACTGCCCAACAATGTTTGGAGGGACATATACCTGGGGTACCCAGTATTGGACTAGATGTAGGGCTGCATCCACACATGAGACAATGTGAAGTGATCACCTCAGGTTGCAGGATCCACAGGAGCAGAAGATCCCTTCTTCCTGATCTTCACTCACTCACTCTTTCTTGGCAGAAGGGGGGGCACAATTTTGTGGTTCACCCCAGGTGTCAAAACTGTCTTGGGCAGGCCCTGGCTAGATGGATAAACAGAAACTATGTCAGATGAATCTCCTGAGGTAAACCACCCCATGGTCAGATGAATCTCCCAAACCACCCCATCCCCCCAGTCATTTAGAATGACTGGTTATCTTAACTTTTTTAGCATGGCTTTTTTCCTAGCCTGTCTCCCGAATTCACAAAATGCCTCAGCTCAAAATTTATCAGGAGAGCTGTTTTGTGTCCTATATGTCCTTTACAGTTTCTTACTGAAATGCTGGCAAATTTTCATGGTTCATTACAAGCCTTTGAAAATGACAGCATGCAAACACTCTGCTGCATTCCCCCTCCCTGAAGAGTTCATTCATATGCAGCCTGTGCACAAAATGATCTCCGACAGATGTAAAAGAAGTAGAGCCCCAAACGTCCTGTTATTCATTTGGAACTCGAAATATTAAAAGTGGCTGAAATTACAAAAAAAAATAATAATTTCTTGCCATCGCAAAATCTCAATCAAATGTCATTTTCTTTCCAGTTTCTGGTTTCCATTATTCAGGTTCCCACGCAATTACAGATACATGCAGAAAAGCAACATTGATGGTCTCAAAGTCCCAGAGACCTTAGCATTTTGAAAAATTCAGATGTAAATCCAAATGTTGTATCGTGGGACCATTTTGGACTAATTCACATAATCTAAAACTCACATGAACAGGCTATCTCAGTAACATCCAATTAAGGTGTTGAATTCATTTTTTCACTTCTTTTTCAAACACATCAAGCCCAAGTGAGAACATTTGAGTGGGGGATGTAACTGGCAGCAGACTGTAGGCCTATTCTAATCAAATGCTACAATCTGGCATTGTACCTTCTGGATGTAGACCCAGGAAGATAATTTGTCTCTGTAGTGAAGAGAAGGGATGGCAAGGAAAGATGGGCAAAAGTAGGAGTTCTCATTCCTCTATCTTATTTTACTTGTGAATGGGAGGGAATGCATGAATTATGGGAAATGCTTCTAAAAGATCTTGGGTTGGTCATCAACTTGAATGGCTTTCAAAAGGGATTACCGTATATGCTCGAATATAAGCCAACTTTTCCAGCACATTTTTGATGCTGAAAAAGCCTCCCTCGGCTTATACTTGAGTGAGGATCCTTTGGGGCTGCTCCTTCCT